CTTTATGTTGGGGGGAGCTTTGATAGGCTTTTTTACTCAAGCAGATTTTCTTGTTGAAGCCTGGGACCAGGGGAATAAGCTAAATAGAGATGCCTCAGCCTGGGGTGTTCAATATTCTCTTTAATGATTAAAAATGTTGACTCCAATGGGAGCAGAGCTCATGCTATAGAGATTATTATGGTTTGAAGCATTTTCTGTATGAGTGGTGAGGGCAGGGTGGGAGGGGCTAGGGAGTGAGACCATGAAAGGCGTCAGCTCCTACAGGGAGGAGGTAAGAGGGTCTCAGTGATTCAGCAGCTCAGCTGGAGGACAGAGGCAGGCAGGATGGGCGCTGAGAAGGGGATGGCTGCTGTCCTCCACAACAAGGTTTTTTAAAACTTAAATCTCAAGTGTTTTTCATTATGTGTGTAATATCCCTCTGTAACTGCCCACCCATCAGTGAAGAATTATAAACACAAGAGCTTTCTGTTAGCGGCACGTTGAGGAATATGTGGGAAGCATGTGTCTCTGTTTGGGGAGGGAAGTGAGTTGGAAAGAAATGTTAGCATGAGGTGAGTGAGGGAAAGGCTGAGTGTGGTGTGGAGAGAAGGGGGACGGTGGGCCAGAATGGGCTTGTAGAACATGGACACATGATCCTCAGCTTCTCAGAATTGTTAGGAGTTGGGCTGTATTTCCTGCACCCATGTAATGTGGGGGAGGGATGGGAATGGGAGGGAAGATCATTATTACATGACCTTTAAAGTAACAGTTGAGGGGCCAGCCCAGTGATGCAGTTAAGTTCACACGTTCTGCTTCAGTGGCCCGGGGTCACCGGTTCGGATTCTGCGTGCAGACCTACGCACCACTTGTCAAGCCATGCTGTGGTAGGCGTCCCACATGTAAAGTAGAGGAAGATGGGCACAGATGTTAGCTCAGGACCAGTCTTCCTCAGCATAAAAAAGAGAATTGGTGTCAGATGTTAGCTCATGGTTAATCTTCCTTAAAAAAAAAAAAGAAAGAAACAATTGAGCTGGAATGAGGATAAACTGGAATAAGGACTGCTACAGGATAAAGTCATGTCTAATTCAAGAAAAGAAAATAGGAAGGAAGGAAGGAAGGAAATCTCTGCTGACCTATCCCAGGCCACTCATGGCTTCAATCTTCTTAGAATGGGTAGTGCGGTCCGTGTCTTCCAGGGACAGCTTTAAGTGATGGGGAAGAGAGAGGAACACAGAAACAAAATACACTTTTGAGCTTTCATAAACCATGCTAGATCCTTGGAGGTGACCTGAAAGAGGTAGAGGTGGGCTAGGGGAACCCAAGAACAGGAGGTGCTCAGTTCCATGCCTATGGGCCCCTAACTGGCCCATAACCATCCTTCTGTTCTCCCAGGTGTTACTATGCATCCAGAAATCAATACCTTACCCATGCATGTATATTTGTATTTCAGAAGATTTCACATACAATAGATAAGACTTAAACTCAAAAGAGTGACCAACAAAAAACTAGCTGCATACAATTTTGTGTGTCCTGGGTACTTTCATTCAAATTGTCTTTTAAAAAATTTGATTTTCATGATAACCCTGTGAGGACAGACAGAAGCACCACTACCTCATCTCCAGAAGAGATCGAGGCTTACATGGAGAAGGTTATGCATTTAGCAAGTGGAAGAGTGGAGTTCTAAACTCAAAACCTTTCACCATTTTCAGGCTGCTTTACCCCACATAACTGGGTAGTTGCGATCTGTAGCATCCGGGTAGATAACTCTTTTACTGTGTGCAAGAGTTGTTTGTGTGTGTGCTTCAGGGTCTCCTTAAATCATGGGACATGGGAAACTCTGCTCAGCCCTAGCTGGTTCTTGACATGCAGGAATGTAGGCCCAAGTCTTCCAATTCTTCAAAAGAAGCTGGACATTTATATTTGTATATGAAGTCTGATATTTTAATGTTGGCACATTCGAAAATGAAAAGAAATAAACACATTCTGCAAACTAAGCATCCTGGCCGCCGCTGTGAGACTTCTGCCTTAAATCTGTGTGCTTGGCTGCCTCTCAGCGCTGTTCCCAGAGGGAGTATAAAGGTGATGCTGCTAATGTCTGCCCTCCCTTCCTGCTCCTTTCTCTCCAACAGACTCTCACCTCATCTGAATATCTGCTCCTGGATTCCTCATCTCTCTTGTCTATTTCTCCCCATCTGAGTCGTTTTCATTTTTCTTTTGGGACCCTTGGAAATCAAGCGGTGTCAAGAGAAACTTGTTTTGTTTGTTTTTTTTAGCATCCTAAACTAGGGTGAGCTAGATAATAGACAGCTAGAGGGAGTGGGGGCAGGGATGGAGGAGCAAGGAAGGCTGAGGAAAAGGCACACACAGGCGCTGCCTGTGAAGGAGAGGAAATGAAAGGACGGAGCTGACAGCAATCTTAGTAAATATTAAATAGTAATGAAATAGAGAGTAACAGGCCACAAAGAAACTGCGATAAGCATGCCAGTAGTTTACTATATTTTGGCACACAGCTGGTATTAGAGCTTAACACATCTCTTCTGATGTTACAGACAGTTTTACTGTGCTGGGAGAAAAACCTGAGTAATGAATACAAGGCAAATGCTTTTGCTATTACAGAGACAAATAAATGGTAGACTGAGAATGACAGAATAAAAGAAAGAAACTCTATTTCCATCATTTGAAATAGATGTTACATCTTGTGGCAGATAAGCTTTCATTAATTAGCAGCAAGAGATTTTGGAAACAATCATACTGTGAGTGGTCACCGCTCTGCATTTGGTAATGAAAGTGCTTTTTTGAATGTGACGCTTTAGTAATTCAGGCAACAATATTTCTCAGCTCCTATTGTGTACAAAGTAGCAGGCACTGTGAGGGGAGGCACTGGAAACAGTGGATGTAATCTTTTCTACTGAACAGCTTGCAGTCTAGTGGTATTAAATTTGCAAGAAGGATGAAGCTCCCCACGAAACGCCCATATCAAATCTTAAAGAATAAAAAAAAAAATCTATGTACTAGATACCTCTCCCAGAAAACGTATCTCTTTGCATTCATTTGAACATAATTCAAACCACGTTTACTAAAAGTCTCTGAGACCCTGTTATACAGCCACTTTGTTTTTACTTTTCTGAAAGAAAATACGAAGACTTCCATTTTCTTGGAAGCGTCTTTAAGATTTTAAACAATAAAACAGTGTCTACATTTATCTAACCTTAAGGCTACCTGAGTCTAAGCTGGAGACTTCAATTACAAGGTATACAGTGATCCTTTCTCCTGACTCTCCCCCCTTTTTTCCCACCTCCCTGCCTTTTGATTGTTATACCCATAGTATCATGAATTGCATACATATTTATTAAAACTGCTATCACTTCTCCCTCCCATTCAATAAAACAGGCCAATACCAAAGTTAGGTTGTCACACCTGTCTTCCCACTTCTCAAGCCTGACGGGGTTATCAGTAAGCACAATCAGTCAAAAAGCAAAGCAGAACAGTGGTAGTGCCACCCAGTAAGAAGAATGAAATCCAGATGCTGTCAAAATTAAGAGAGATTTGATTAATGCCACCATTAACTTTATTTTCACTGCTTCCCCAGCAGGGTTAAAAAAAAGCAGTTCAGGGCGAGTGATATACTGACACTGAGGGGCATCTCTTAGCAAGGCACAATTTTTCAAATAATGTCTAAGGTACTTGATGTGTTATCAAAAGATCACCTTGCATCTATCAAGAAGCTTTAATTATAGGAGTTAAAAGTAGCCTTTCCCTCAATGCCCATTTCCTACCCAAATTTCTCTAATATCAAATTTACTTTTGTCTCTTCTGTGACAGCAGAAATATCAGTGATGTAATGCAGTGTATATTTGGGGTCTCTACGACATCTGTGGAAGTCGAATCTTATTTTCCAGACAGACACAAAATTCACATGGCTTTTAACTCATTTTTAAGTAGATCCTGACTTAATATAAAAAATTGAGAACAGATGACCAATATTCACAAAGAATCGTAAAAATTCGGAACATTCTAAAGAATAAATATCTTCAAGAAAAGTTGACTGAAAATCCTAAGTTGAGATGACACAAGTGACTGTGTTTCAAATCACTTGGTTTGCATTCCATCCTTTAATCAATCTCGATGAATCTTGATATCATCTGTACATTTCAAGCTTCTTCCTAAATCTTCTCAACAGTTTTCAAAGCTATTTATTTTGGTGCTTTCAGGAAATCAATAAAAACGTCTTACTCTATTATGCGTAGTGAAAGAACAGAAAAACAAAAAGCTTAATTGCTCCAGCTGTGCCTTCTTGTTTATTTAAATAAAAAAAATGAGCTAATCTGTGTTGAACGCAGAATCCATTGAATTGTGATAAACTGATGTTACTTTATCCTTCTTGACAGCAATTTTTCAGAAATCCCTGTCATTTTTATAAATTTCAATAGTTGGAAAACTCTTATTTTCTCTTTGTGAAAAATCAATGATCGGTAATTTTTTTATAAGTATAGTGAACATATCTGACATAACCTTAAACTTTTGACATCTATATTTTAAGTAATTGAAATTACATATTTCAACCTAAAATTTTATGTTTTCTATTCAGATGTTAAATAGTTTTTGAACTCTTCATTTGGCAAATTATCTCAGTTTTTAAAAATAATTGTCATTGTTAGCAAATTTATTTGACAATATCTTCATTAGCAAACGGATAGGCATTTTCAATCAGAGTCCTAGGTTGAATGTGGGGAAAAATCTGTGCAGGGTCCTCTCCCCGGCTTGTCTCCACTGTGGCCCAGTGGCTGTAACTCACGTCTACATGGCTCTATGCCAACAGAAATGCCTATGGAAAGGAAAGCCTGTTCTGAACTGAAGGCTGCTGCCTTTGTGAAAGATGAGAAGACAAAGCCTAATACAGTGAAACTTCTTTAGAACATTTTCCAGGGAACTGAACATTTTGAATGTTCTACGTGGGAAAACATGCGCTGGGAGAGCAGCACAATGACGCATTTCACTGTACTTCCACTTTCCAAGCATTCCAGGGCACTCTGCATACGAGGCTAACAAACCGCTTAAACAGGAGATGGTCACAGGCTCGGGAAAGCTTTCCTCCCGCCCTCTTTGTGGTCACACAAAACAGTCAATTACTTCCGTCTGAAACAGAGGCCAGGTCTGTTCTCAAAAACCACGCTCTGGAGGAGGTATAGGAATATCCGATGGTTACTTGAGCTAGTTCAGGTGGCTTAGAGAAGGGCAAAATGGTTCCTTTACAGACTAGAAAAATCACTTTAACAAAGAACAAACGTCTCCGGGGGAAGGTAAGCACACCAACACAGTAAGTATCATCTTCGCTGAATGTTGAGTTGGAGCCATTTTAGTTTGCCTGTCTGTGCTTTTCTCTATTAAGTGTTATTTTGTTATGCACTAGCGTATCATGGTTCTCACATTTGAAAGCCTCTTTTCTTATACCTTTTAATTTATTTCAGATCATACAGAACCTCAGAAAATTGAGGACAAAATCACAGAACACCAGATACCAAGGCAGGTCGTACTGTGCTTTGAGCAACCTTTCTATAAACTTCTCGCGTTCCAGCCTAGTTATTTTCTCACAGAGCTTGTTTAGCGGAGTGTAGGAAATTCTACTTACTGGGTTTTTTGGTTATCTAGGAGCATCTCGGTATTTTTCAGATTACTAAGAATCTGTTGTAAAGTGACTTCATGACACAACAGATAAAGAGATCAAGATAAATTGCTGATGGAGACTGTGTTTTCTAAGAAGGAGTGATAAGCATTAGCAGATAAAAAATGTAATCAATCAAGAATGGAACAAGGCAGGAATAGGGAGAATGTTTTTCCATTTAAAATCTAGTGTAAATTTTGTCCTTAACAAAGTCAGAGAAAATATAAAGAATCAGAGGGAATTGTTAAAATACAGAATAAAGGAAGAAAAACTTTGCTTAAATAGATGAGTGAAGGGTTTCAGACATAAATAAATGTATGTTTGTATGTTGATATGTACGTACGTGTGTTTTGGGTTTTTCCTTTCCTGTTAGGATTAAGTAACTGTTTAAATAAATTTATTTAGGAGTTGATTATTTAGTTTGTCAATAATGAAAATCTACTTTTTATAGCTCTTTAAAAAATAACTTAAAAAATGTACAAAAATAGATCTGTTTCAGAAAATCAGGAATAATATTTTTCACTTTTCTAAATTCTAGGTTCCAGAATACTAGTGGTCTAAGAGAACGGATAAGAGTCATGGTCACTAGAAGTGGAATGGTCCAAAAAGCCTCAGAAAGTACAGGATTGAAAGAATGAGACAACCAAATATTAACTTCTGGATAACTTCCAACTCTCTATCCACCAACCCACCCCCCCAATGCCCACCTCACCCCACCCCATCTCTTTAGGGATAAGTCAGTCTCCTAGCATTTGACTGATGGTACAAGAGTCAGTTTTTTGTTTTTGTTTTTGTTTTTTTTAACTTTTTATTAAGATTATGATAGTTTACAACCTTGTGAAATTTCAGTCATACATTATTGTTAGTCATGTTGTAGGTGCACCACTTCACCCTTTGTGCCCTCTCCCTACCCCCCCTTTCCCCTTGTAACCACCAATCAATTCTCTTTGTCTCTATGTTTAACTTCCACCTATGAGTGGAGTCATACAGAGTTCCTCTTTCTCTGTCTGGCATATTTCACTTAACATAATACCTTCAAGGTCTATCCACGTTGTTGTGAATGGGACGATTTTGTCTCTGTTTATGGCTGAGTAGTATTCCATTGTATATATATATACCATATCTTCTTTTTCCAATCATCAGTTGATGGGCGTTTAGGTTGCTTCCACGTCTTGGCTATTGTAAATATCCACGTCTAAGCATATTGTAAATAATGCTGCAATGAACATAGGGGTGCATGGGACTTTTGGAATTGCTGATTTCAAGTTCTTTGGATAGATACCCAGTAGTGGGACGGCTGGGTCATAAGGTATTTCTATTTTTAATTTTTTGGGAAATCTCCATACTGTTTTCCATAGTAGCTGCACCAGTTTGCATTCCCACTAACAGTATATGAGGGTTCCTTTTTCTCCACAACCTCTCCAACATTTGTCACTTTTTGTTTTGGTTATTTTTGCCATACAAGAGTCAGTTTTGATGTTTAAGAGGCTGAAGGAGCTCCACAAACAATTGAAACTTCCCTAATCAATATCACTTCTCTTAAAATACCCCCAGCCACGCTCTCCCTGAGGATTTCCCATTAGCTACCTGTGACAGACAGTCTCTAAATGGCCCCCAATGATCCCTACCTCCTGGCATTCATGCTCTTGTGTAATGCTGTAGCCTTCATTGTGCACTGGATTTAGTGACTCATTTCTAGCAAATAGAATGTGGCAGAGTTGCAGGGATGTCACTTACAAGATTAGCTTACAAAATGGCTGTGGCTTCTGTCTGGGGTGCTCTCTCTCTCTCTTACTCTGTCTGAGGGAAGCCAGCTGCCATGTTGTGAGCTGTCCTCTGGAGAGGCACACAACACAGCCCAACAACCTGCCAACCAATGAGTGAGCTTGGAGTCAGATCCTCCCCAACTGAGTCTTCACATAAGACCTCAGCCCCATGACATCTGAACTCAATCTCTTGAGCCAGAGGCACCAAGCTAAGCAGCACCCAGATTCATGACAGAAACCATGAGATACTAAGTATTTGTTGTTTTAAGCCACTAAGTTTTGAGGTAATTTGTTATGCAGCCATAGGTAACTAATACACTTTTTTGTCCAGTTCCAGTTTCCATCTTTTTTAGTCCACCTTCTCATTTGCCAATTCCTGCCTTTTCTCTCCCATTGTCCTTCCCCACCCCACATCCTTTTACTTCTTTTGTGGGACACTTTAAAACTATCTCTGCTTCACAGGTTCCTTCAGGCCAATGCCCTCAGGGCTTCTCCTTCTTCACCTTAAATGGCCTAAAAATAATAAAGCAGGTTTTCAACCTAAGAGAAACTCTAGTACTAGCTACCATAAGAACAATTTTTCCAGTTTTATATTAAGAAACTGTGAGTCATCCAAAATAAATAATGTATCTATGATTTCGTCAACTTAAAAACACTCTAGCTTTGGGATGTTTCATAAAGTTAAGATGAAAACCCCTGATGATTAAATAATCAATTCCCTGATTACTTAAACTTCCTATAGTAATAACATAAATTATTTTCAAATGTTTTAGTTATTTTTGGTAACATTTGATTTGGATTATTGCTATACGTTAATGTGAGACATCCATACCTGAAATCCTCAAGTTTTTCAGCCTTCTTCTGGGCTCAGTTGTTACTTCAATACCCCCAATAAAATGCCTTGTGCCCCCTATTACCATCAGCTTGTAGAAATTGCTCTCTTCCAAGATTTTGGAGGATACCCTGAAGACCTACATTCTCATTTGTCATCTTTCTCTTTGGAATTTCTCCACTATCTTCAGCTTCCCCCAAATGCCAATCACACAAGACTGCTGGATTTCCATTTGCTTACTGCAAAGCACAAGATAACAAAGAACTTATAAAATTGAAATTAGACATTTGCTGAAACCAGACTTCTCTTCCAGTTTCTTGGATAACCACAGCATACGCAGGTCATCAGATTGTCCTCCTCAGGGCCCTGTGTGCCCCTCCCTCACCGGCCTCCCATACTGCTAAACCCTTCTCTTGAATCTTGCTATTTTTCCTCTAGTCCAAGAGCCCCCTGGATCCATTCCCTACCACAACCTTAATAAGGGCATTTTAACTAGGTTTTGTTTAAACTTCTCACATCTAGGTTGTGTGATAGTGGGGACTGAGGGGAAGGGAGTCTTAACTTCCACCACCAAGGACGTCCCAGACCCATTTGTGTGTTCTTTTCTAGATATTGTCGTCCTCCTCAGCTCAAATTGTTCCTAGCCACTTAAAATAACATTTTGTGTGTGTGTGTGTGTGTGTGTGTGTGAGGAAGACTGGCCCTGAGGTAACATCTGTTGCCAATCTTCCTCTTTTTGCTTAAGGAAGATTTTTGCTGAACGAACATCTGTGCCAATCTTCCTCTATTTCATATGGGATGCCGCCACAGTGTGGCTTGATGAAGGATGTTAAGTCTGTGCCGGGGATCCGAACCTGCGAACCTTGGGCTGCCGAAATGGAGTGTGCAAACTTAACCACTACACCACCGGGCCATCATATTAGGGTTTAGATATAAAGATTAAGTTTAAAAATCCTAATAAAATATTCAAGAAGACAAATCATTTTCCCATTGAAATCCTCCTGAATTTACTAACAAAATTTTTTAAAGAAGTGGAGTTTTTTCCTTAAGACTAGACTGAACACCTATTCTATAAAGCAGTGTATAGTCCACTTCAAGTAAAAGGTAACAGCTCTTTTTATGATTATTTGTAATTATAAGACCCTCTTTGAGGATCAATTTCTATATATTTGAATGCTTATTCTATGGCATGGCAAATGATTGGCAAATATTAAGAAGCTATGTCTTCTTTTCCAGTACCAAAGGTCTGACACTGAATCAAATCCTGGATCGTAGAACTGCTGTAAATTATGCTTCGTCTCAGGAAACTAGATGAAAATAAGTTCTGAGCTTCCTTGGTTCTAAGAAGGAACTTTAGAAGAATTTATGGAAGAATACATGTCATTCTAGATGACACTTAATTGCTTTTTCCCCCGATAAGTGTAAATATTTATATTCCATTATGAAAATACATTTCCTCAGAAAGGTAAGGAAGACTGGCTCCCGGCTGTGCGCTGGGGAAAACTTCCATCTCTGCTTCCCCTCCTGGTAGCTACCTGCCTCTAGTGTTTTCAAAGGCAGCTGGGAGTTTCTAGGGAAAATAACTTGAAGCATGTCTGGTGAACTGGATGAAGGATAGGAAAAAGGGAGTTGGGTGGAAGAAGGGTGCTGATGGAAGAAATTTTCCACAGGTAGATTTTTCCAGGCAAGAGAAAGAACTCAGCAGGAGCAAAGATTAAGGATAGCATAGTGCATTGGATTCAACTAAAGACATGAGGGTTGGAGCAGAGGAGTTTCCAGATCACAAATACCTGCCCTGACCCCACCGGTCAGGAGTGTGCTGGTGAAATAATGGGAAGAGCTGTCATCCAAAGTTGGGATGCCCTTTGGGGCCTAAGAAAATCTATTGGTGGCTCCCTAAGAGATCATCTCCTAGATGAAGGGACTTGTTTCCCTTCCCACTGCATCAAGGAGTCTGAGTCAGAATGGCGCTACAGAGGATGGAATGGTAGTCCATAGCCCAGTGACAGTTGAGTCAGCTGGGGAACAGAGATTAGCAGCATTTCCATTTTGCTGGTGGCCAGTGTGGATAGGCACTCCACCAGCTTAAGCAAAATATGTTTGAGTAACAGCTGAATTCGAACTTGAAGAGCAACAGCCAAAAAGAGAGCAGAGAAGAAAGTACGGGCATTTGGAGACCTCCAGAGATTCATGCTGTTGGAGGGGGAAAGGGAGAAATTTGGAAGCGGATTGATTTTCTGTGATTACAAAGGTGGGAAGTGCATTAAGCTCGGAAGATTTAGGATTGAATGTCACTGTCACCCCACTTGCATTCACAAGCTGGGAGATTATAATAACACGCAGAGAGAATAGTTTCTACCTATGATCACTTTTTCATATGGGAGAATTTCACTCATATTAAAGGTACCATTTTGACAAATATGATTGTTGAAGATCAGACTTAGATATCAATTATAACAACTCAGAAATAATTAGCTAAGTTTGAGAATCCACATTCTCTGTCATGGGTGTACAATAAGACAAAACTTTGACACAAACTCTCTGGAACACACTGACTTCGTCAATAAATCGGGGCTAATAATTCTGTGTCACAGTAGTATTGTGCAGATAATGAGAAAACTTTGGGGAAAGTGTCTAGCACATTGTCGGGCACATAGTATTCAATTCTTTGTGTTCATTGCTCAATGAAGAAGGTTTCACCAGAAAATTTAACTGGTGGCAAAGAAAGACAACATACAACATTAGAGCAAAATCTACAGCACCATGCATGAGGAAAAGAGAGGACAGATTCTTCTACAAGGTGGGGTAGGGAGAAAAGCACCCTGAACTGAAGACCATGAGGGTGGGTTTTTGTCCTGGCTCTGCTCCCAGCTCCCCTGTGTCTCTGGTTAGCTACTTAGCTAATCTCTCCCAGTATCAGATTGCTCCAGGGAAAAATGAGGGGCTCAGTCTCAGTAAGAGCTAAGGTCCCTTTTAACAATAACAATTCACACATTTGTAAGATATGATCATTTGTGTCGCTAAAACACTTGCTTTAATTATTTATTGTTTCTTAATGTATAGGATAGCAATTAGGGGATAGCAATTATTATGTTTTGTGGTTTTAATTTTTTAAACTGTAGTTTTATAGAAAAAGCGTAAGTGTGCTATAATCCCCAATTAAATCAACTACAACTGTGGGAAATTGGTTTGACTGGATGCACAGGGAAAAAGCACTCTCTATTCCTGATCCCAACTTACCTGAATTCTAGCTAAACGAGCAGGAGGGAGACTACAGACCCTCTTGGGAGCTGTCCTTGCAAACCCAAATATAAAAAGTAAGATTATGATAGTCATACCTTAAATTTGTATTCCTCTGTGTATTTTCTAACGGAAGAATGCGGAGTGGCCAGGGTGAAGGCGAAGGGTGCAGAGACTAACATACAGCGAACATTGACTGAGTACATACTATGTGTCAGGCAGCATGACAAGCATTTTACATATGTTACCCACTTTGTCTTTAGGTAAGCACAATAATTCTCATTGTACAGAAAACCAACTTGCCAATGTTACACAGAAGAGTCGTTGGGATTCAAAGCCAAGTCTGTGACTCCATTCCATGCGTTTTCTAAATTGTCGCCTGAAAACAGGAATGTAGGGAAAAGACATAAAAGTAATTGGTGCTTAAAGGTTTAAGGAAAGAACTACTGGTACAGGGGTGGAAAAACTCCCCAGTTTGCAAAGTGTGCTTGGTAATAGGATGTTTGAACATTATTATGTAATTTTAACAAATTCTGACCTATATTTACCTGGAGATACATACTCCCATATTATAAGAGTTTCTGGTTTGTATCATTTTTGCATCATCAGAGGAGGCTGCTATTGAGTCACAAACAATAGGGATTTTTCTCTAATAGAAATGCATCTGGTGGCCAGAGGAGAACATCTTTAATCCCCTATAATGAGTTCAATAGCCGTCACAACATTTTATGACAATTTGGGCTTAATTTTAATTGCTCTATCAGTCTGTTGTGTAGCATAGACAAATGCATACCTTGTTAGTACAATCACTTTGTCTATTGGCCTTGGTTTTTTTCTTTCTTTTTTTTTTCTCCGTTTTGTTTTGTGGTACTGCTATCCCTAGTCACCCAAGCTGGAGAAATGGGGCCATCCCCACTCCTTACAACCTCTACTCAACACTTTTCCCAAATGTGTCTCTTCTCCATTCCCATCACCTCTGCTTAGTTCATGCCTGCATCTTCACTTGCTGGACCACTTCAACAGCTGCCTGCTGGAGCCCCCTGTCTCCAGACTTTTCTCCTCAAGCCTCTTCTCCACGTAGCCAAGCATCTTCTACTTAACCCAAGACTGACCAGTCTCTGCCTGTTTAAAACCCTCCAGGGGTCCTCATTGCCCACAAAATGAAGTCCAAGCTCCTAGGGTGGCTTGCAGAGCCTCCCCAGCCTCATCTCACATCTCACTCTCTTAGCCATGACCTCCAGCAATGCTGAACTTCTTGTATTTTTGCTATGCACAGTTCTGTTGGCTGTTTCTCCCTCTGAGCCTTTTGCTCAAGCTGTCTCATTTGTCCAAAATGCCCTCTCTGCCCTCTCCATCCTTCAGCACCCCATTCCTTGCCTAGATTCTCGTTATTCTTTGAAACATGGTCCAGATGTCACTTCCTCCAGGAAACCCTGCCTCACTACGTTGTGAGCCCTCACCCTCTGTCCCAGACCATGGCAGGTGATCCTCCTCTCTGTCCCCATGTCTCTGGAAACAAATTAGGTATTTATTAAGTGTATTACTGTAACCATCATTGCCCTTACTACATTTTATTGTCATTTTCTGTTGATGTGTCTGTTGTCCTTCTTTAGAATGTCAGCTCATTCTTTTAAAAGTAGGATAAAAAAAGGTCAATGGCCTGTTAGTAAAACACACAAGAGATATGACCAGAAGGGTCAGAGAAAATAAGGCAAATGGCCCTTAAATGTACGAGAAGATGTTCAGTCCTGCTAATAAGAGAAATGTAAATTACTATGCTATCGTTTTTCGTACCCCTCATAAATCCAGAAGTTTGGCAACATACTCTGTGGGTGAGGCTGTGTGGAAATAGGCATTATCAGACATGGCTGGTTGGAATACAAAATGGTACAACCATTATGGGGGAAAATTTGGCAATATCAAGCAAATTTATATATGCTTTTATCCTTTGGTCTGGGAATTGCCCTTCTAAGAATCTATCCCAAAAATATGCTGCAAAATACATGAGAGGATGTGTGAAGAAAGCTCTACTTTGTAGCACTTTTTATAAAAGCAAAATATTGGAACAGCCCATATAACCATTAGTAGGACTGGTTGAATAATTTATGGTAAATCCATACATTAGTCTGTACAATAGGCTATATTGAAGCTGTATAAAAAAAGAGAAATATCTTTATACAATGCCGTAGAACGATTACCAGATGTGTTAAGTGAAAATAGTGGGGTAGAAAAACATGTGTTCAGTTTGCTACTGTTTTTCTGAGAAAGAGGAGAATATGATTATAAATATATGTTTACTTATAGTTGTAACAAGTTTTTCTGTAATAAAAAGGAAGTAACAAGATGGAGATGACAAGGATAAAAGCTAGACTTCTCTAAATATCCCTTATTTTAAGGATTTTATTTTGGAACTATGTAACTATTTTATTTAATTATAAAATAATTTTAAAAATCTCTAAAAAAATGAAACAAAACAAAACAGATGAAATCAGTATTGAGTTTGGTGGAATAATCTTCCAGAGAAGAAGTAACTCTGATTTTTTTCCTCTATTTTCCCTCCCCTCCAGTTTTTGCCATCAGACTTGCTGACCCTGAGCCCACAACAGATTGTAAAGTTTATAACAGTCTCTAAAGCAAAGCAGAAGCTTGCATTTCCCATGATGGGTTAATGGGAGGTCCTGGGCCAAAAGCCAAGATCTCCTTTATTTTCTGCTTATTTTACTAAAGAATTACTTTTCCTCATTCAGGTTCCTCCTTCCTTTCTCTTCTCATCATCATGAAAACCACAAGTGACATACCCAATGGGCATATTGTCATCTTCCACTAGGAGGTTTCAAACCGGGATGACTTGGGAAATGGTGGTTCCAAGGACACAAACAGGGAATTTTCAGAGAAAAGATTTCAGCGAGGGATGGAGAACACTTGACTATACTAACGAGAACCAGGTAACCTCAGAAAGAGTAGAAAAGCTTCTCAGACTGCAGAGGCCAATATAGAGGTAAAGAAGAGTGCAGTGCAGGTCAGGGTCAAAGAAAATGACCCTAAAGACTGACTGTAGTTGGACACCCTGGGGAGAAATAATCCATTTCTGGTTAGAAGGGTTGAGCAGTTAAAATGAGAAGTGTTTCTGTATAATACATTTGTGCATATGCATCTATCCGGCCTGGCTGTCGCAGGTCAGGTTCTCTGGAAGTTGCGGGGCAAGATGGTTATTTGGGATCTACACCTGTGAACGGAAAGTGGCAGAAGCAGGATTGGGCGGAGGAAGAAGCTGAACTGTGATGGGCTCGACAAAGCTTCAGCCCACCAGCTGAGAAATTGTCCTGTAGCAGGCAGAAATGACTGGCCATTACACCCTCACCACGCTTAGTCATCTGACACAGGCTGCCCCAGAAAGCCTTGACCTCAGGCAGGAGACGCAGCTCTCTGCAGCTAAAGCAGACCCTGAAGGAGCCGGCAGCCGGGCGCTGCCTCCTGACAACATTTCCCGCAGCTGAGATACAAGCCTTCCTTGAAGGGGGACCTGGGTGGCAGGTTTCTCTGCCTACCATACTAGCAAAACTCTCCATGGTTAATAGAGAGTGTTTTTATTTTAATCTCTCTCAACCAACAAAAGCTATTACGTTTTCAATAAAGAACCCCATATATTTAGTGTTGAATTTGAAATTACTCTTCTCTTAGAGTTTATATTCCATGGATTATCAGGTCATCGATACTATATTTCTGAGCAGGCTGGAATTAGCTATTTATTCATTTATTCATCCCACAAACATTTATTAAATATCTATTGCATGACAGTCTCTGGGAATTGAAATATGAATAAAGATGCTTTTCCTGTGGACTCCTTGGAGTTAGATTCTAGTGGGGAGGCAGACAAAATAGACAAACAAAGCAATGTGGTAAGAGTTAAAAAAATACAGGCATAAACAAGATACTATAGAAGTTAAAGGGGCGTGAAGGAGAAAATACTTAGCTGTGTCTCCAGGCATCCTCCTGGAAGAGGAGATGTGGGCTCTGTCTCTGACTAAACAAGAAACATTTGCACGGGAACATTATAGGAAGAGCAAATTACGTGAGTAAGGTCTCAGAAGAATGAAAGAGCATTGCACATCATGGGAACTATGAATAGATTGATTGATAGGACCGACGCATAGATTGCAAGTGGTTATATTTGGGGCTGGGGAAAAAATATATACATATATATTTATCTTATTCATTTGTTAATTGTACTTTATCTAGCCAGTGTTTCTCAAATGCAATTAGCAATTCTTTTCTTGTTTGTTTTTTCAAACACCCTCTGCAGAACATTCTTTGGGAAATGTTGAAAGACAGTGTTGATGGAGCCAGCCAGGTCATCTGTTACATAAGCTTGTTTCAGACCCAGTACCTGAACAGGTCTGTTCTGTCTTCCTATTGACACATAAGGGAGAGGTATTATTGGATGCACTTCCTGGGAAGGCTACAGCTGTATCTGTCCATCCTTGGAGACTAGAATACGGAACTCTGTTAGAAGGAAGGAACACTCCATCTCCCTGTCATAAAGCGTCCTTAGCAACCATCTACCTAGTTCAGGTCACAGACAGGGAAAGTAGAGACTGTACAGTCTTTGACTCTTTCTGGTGCAGACAAACTGGTTTGAGGAAGCTGAAGAAGATAGTCCAGTGACACAGTTGAGACCTTAGCCATGGCATCTGTATCTTATCGAGAGCCAATATCTACCACAGTGGGAAAACGGATGATTGTTACAGGTAAAGAGTTTTTGTGTATGTTTTCACAAGGAGATCTAAACTGTCTTTATCCCTCACTTGTATGATGCTCACATATGATACAGAATGGGTATGAAAATGAAATAGTCACATGTGTTTATCTTATACAACACTGCTACTCTAATCATGCACACTCAGTCTGGGCATCAACACCATGCTGCCATAAATTGGCATCACAGTTCTCACTGTATCTGAGCTAACTTTCACAAAGGGACATTTTTATGTCATAAAGTTTCTGTTTGTTTAAGAACTACTCTGAAGTTAATAAAAAGTATACTTTTGATCAAATTTTAATTATTAGTGATTTAAGCTTCTTGTATTTTTATAAACTTGATGGATTAGGTTGATAAAAATTTGAGCAAGATGTACACTAAAACTAGTGCGACTGTTAGCTTGCATTTTGTTCCTTCAACTTGCTTTAAATGATTTGGGTGGTATATGTGTGTGGAATTACAATAAAATGTAATTAAATAGAATATGACTAATTGAGTAAGTCTATAAGAAATAAACTAAACTTCATCTTATTTCCTTTATATTTTTAAATCATGAGCATATTTTATAAGCTATATGCCCTTGCTTACCTGTAAATTTTCACTTAAGTCCTGAGAAACCTGGCTTAGACTATCTACCATTCATTTATTTGTTTAATTCCAGTGTATACATATACAAGTATCAGAATTGTTAACCTGTACTCCATGGAAAAAACTTTATCAATGAGAGTACGGTGCTTCCTTGCAATTCCTTTTGCGTCTAGACTTACAGACTCTACTCATTTCCAAAGTTACTTAGGTCAGCACCTTTTCCTCCCACCCGTCTAAGTTCCTTCTTGGAATCCCCCAGCCTGCTAAATGATTTTTTGAAATGTTGCAGACATCAAGCTTTGCTCTTTGTGCTGTAAAGTCTATAAGTTTTGACAAATTCATAAGTCCATATATCCACCATTATAGTATCATATGGAATAGTTCTGCCACTCCAAAAATCTGCCGTGCTCCAGCTGTTCATTCCTCCTTCTCTCTCCCCAAGCTCATAGCAACCACCGATCTTTTCACTGTCTCTATAGTTTTGCCTTTTCCTGAATGTCATAGAGCTGGAATCATACAGCATGTAGCCTTTTCAGATTGGCTTTTTTCAATTGCCAATATGCATGAAGTTTCCTCCGTGTCTTTTCACAGCTTGATAGCTCATATTTTTCCATCACTGAATAATTTTCCATTGTATGGGTGTACCATCATTTATCTGGTCACTTGTTGAAGGACATCTTGGTTACTTGCAATTTTTGCAGTTCTGATAAAAGCTTCTATAAATATTTGTATGCTGGCTCTTACATGAATATGTTTTCAAATCAATTTGGTAAATACTTAGGAAAGTGACTGTTTGATCATATGGTAAGACTATGTTCAATTTTGTAAGAAACCACCAAACTGTCTTTGAAACAGTTGTACCATTTGGTATTTCCACCAGCAAGGAGTGAAAGTTCCTGTTGCTTTGCACCCTTGTTAGCATTTGGCATTCTCTGTTTTATTACTTTTAGCTATTCTAATAGGTATGTTGTTACATCTCATTGTTTTTTTAAATTCACAATTCCCTAATCACCAATGTTCATATACTTATTTGTCATCTGTATATCTTCTTTGATGAGATGTCTGTTCATAATGTTTGCCTGTTTTGTAATTGGGTTTTTTGTTTTCTTACTGTTGAGTTTTAAGGTTTCTATGTATATTTTGGATACAAGTCTTTTATCAGATAAGTATTTTGCAAATATTTTATCCTAGTCTGTACTTGTCTTTTCATTCTAATGTAATCTTTCATAGAGCAGAAGTTTTTAGTTTTAATAAAAGTGCAAGTAATCCATTTTTTCTTTCATGGATTGTGTTTTTGTTGTATCTAGAAATTCATCGCCAAATCTAGGGTCACCTAGATTTTTCTCCTATATTTTCTTCTAGAAGTTTTACACTGTTGTGTTTTCATTTAGATCTATGATCATTTTGAGGTGATTTTTGTGTCAAACTTTTTATTTCTATCATCCAATAAATTTTCTCTCTGCCTAAAGCCAGTTTGGGTTGGGTTTTCTGTCACTTGCAACTGTGATTCTTCATTGATGCTTAAAATTTCTTCTACTTTATGTCAGTGTATGTATATCCATATAATTCAAATTCTTGTCACCTTTGATAGACTTATGGTCTTTTATTATATTGATACGTAATAATTAACTTCACGTTCTCCCATACTTTATATTTAATTTCCAAATTTTTGCTGTTATAATGAAGATACATGAATAATTTTGCATAAATTATTTGTCCCTTTCTGTTATTTTCTTGAGATATATTTATAAAGAGTGGAATCAGCAGGTGAAAGATACAGATTGTTCAAGCCACGAACTTTGGAGAATTGTGTGAAATACTATGAACAATGTATTTGTTTTAAAGCTTGCAAATACTTTTTAAGACCACTTTTATTTATCTTTAATAATTGGAGAGGTATAAGGGCCAGCCCCGTGGCCTAATGGTTAAGTGTGGTACATCTTGCACCTGGTGACCCAGGTTCAGTTTCCAGGCATGGACCTACACCACTCATTGGTGACCAAGCTGTAGCAGCAACCCACATAGAAAATAGAGGAAGATTGGCACAGATGTTAGCTTAGGGTGAAGCTTCTTCAGCAAAAAAAAAAAAGAAAAAATGGAAAGGTATGTATCAATCTTGTTTTTTTTTTTTTTGAGGAAGATTAGCCCTGAGCTAACATCCGTGCCCATCTTCCTCTACTTTATATGTGGGACACCTGCCACAGCATGGCCTAACAAACAATGTATAGGTCTGCACCCAGGATCTGAACTGGCAAACCCAGGGCCACCAAAGCAGAACATGCAAACTTAACTGCTGCGCCACTGGGTCAGCCCCTATATAAATCTTTTTTTGAATGTAACTTTTAAAAATTTTAATATGAATGTTCTTAACTATATACCAATAAACTCCCACTTACTTGTCACTCATATTCAACAATCATCAAAATTTTCCACATTTGATTCATGTATCTTTTTTCTTTTTCTTTTGCTGAAATATTTTAAAGTGAATCGCGGATACTGTAGTATCTCATCCCTGTATATTTCATTGTACATCTCTAAAAAATATGAACATTTTCTTATATAACCACATTACCATTATCACACCTAATAAAATTAACAATTATCCTTTGGCATCATGTAATAACTAGTCCATAATAAAATTTCCCTGATTGTCTCTAAAATGTATTTTTACAGTTGATTATGAGAATAAAGACCAAAATGAGGTCCACACATTGCATTTGGTTGTATTGATTCTTATAGTATCTTTTAAACTGGTGCAACCTTCCTTCTTTTTTTCTTGCCATTTACTTGTTGCAGAAATTGGGTCAGCTATCCAGCAGAAAGGTCCAATGTTTTGGGTTTGTCTCTTGCTTCCTTGTCACGTCACTTAACTTGTTCCTCTATCCTGTGTATGTTCTGTAAATTGAATTTGACTCTAGAAGCTTGATTACAGTCAGATTCAACTCTTTAGGAAAGCTCGTCTCTTGGATGCAGCTGTGCACACACAACACTCAAACTTTTAAGCAGTTCAAACAACAATTTCAATTCCAATAAAGCCCGTTACTTAGTACCTTTCTAACTTATTGGGACTCAGACCTCTTTCCTCTATACTTGCAAGTGTTTTTAATGGAAAGCTCATGTTCTCATAAAAATGTTGGCATAAGTCGTTATGTACCCTGGTTAGGCAAACAAAAAGTTGATTTAATCCATACCATACGTCAAATATTGTATAGGTGCAGTAAAAACATAGGAAATGTCTTGTCACCATTAATAATTAATGTAAAAACAAGAAAATGTCATGAAAATAATTTTTAAAAATTATCTTGAATGCTCAGATGTAAGGAAAAACTAACCAGATTATAGGAGGATAAGAAAATAGCTGAGAAATTTTGTGGCAATTCTGAGGATGATTTTGGAGCACTTTTAAGAGTTTTATAGGATTTTTATTGATGTATAATTTTGTTTTAAAATCAACTTTTTCTTCTTTTGCTGTAAGTGTAACACTAGTCTTATACTTATCATTGATAGCTATAGTTGTTTTTTGATTTCTTTTATTCCTAGTGGGACTCCATTATTCTATGAGATGATTCAAAGTGTGTATTTACTTAGTGTATCTTGACTACTTAACTAATTTGACCATTCATCAAGTTTTATTTGTCAATTAAATTTTAATATTTTTCCTTTTAAAATATATTTTTAAAACTAAATTTTTATCTTATAGATTTGAAATCCAGTTTAACAAATACAGATCAAATCTCTATTGAATACTAAAAACTTGGCCATAAGCTTTGAACAATACAAAAATGAACATGCATAAGATGTTCTCTTTTTTCTAGAAGCTTATGATTTATTCTTCTGGTTAGAACATTATAGGTTATCCTGTTATCCTATCTGTTTTATTTAAATATCCATCACACCATACTGTGGCATTGAAAGACACACAAATCCAATTCCAAAGACCTTGAGAAATAATGTAAAAGAAGTGGAAAAGGAAGAAAATTACTTCATACGGGACTCCACACAACTCAGCCATATGTTTTGTTTTGTTTTGTTTTTATACTCATTTTTCTTTTGAATATCGTAATTAAAGCATAAATTACCTCCTACATTACAGATGGATCTTAGAATTTATTTAGTTTGCAATTCATAAAGGGGTAGAGATTCTTTTTGAAAAAACTGTCAGTGAGTCCAACTTTTAAAACTTTTTAAAAAGTGATATGTAACATATACTCTATCAAGTACATTAATCTAGTGTTCAGCTTGATAACATTTCACAAAGTGAACACATCTACGCATCTACTTTTTATATCAAGATCGTGAACATTTTCATTACCCTAAAAAGTTCCTTTATGCCCTTTCCCAGTCAATCTCCCCAAAGTCAAACACTGTTTTGATTTCTGTAATCCATGTTTTTGACAACTC